CTCAGACTATAGCCTAGGGAAAATGAAAGGTTTAAGAATGACTGGAAATCAGGTTTCCAGGAAGCAATGACGCAAAACAAAGTTAAAAGAATAATGTACACGGAGCTCTTCCAAACGTGTCCGACCGCCACCGTCGCGTATCTCAATGTTGGAAATTGTTTGTAAACACCCAGAAAAATAAGGTTTTGGGGAGAAGACATGCAGTGAAAATAATTAATTGTTATCATTACTGTCAATCTATATGCCCAATAAATACAAAAAGAATAATCAAACCTGAACCATTCATTAATTGTTCACAGATCAGTAACCTTCACATGGCCAAAATTCATTTTATCTCTTCTACCTTCCTTATATCGTTAATATTTGACTACGATGAATGAAAAGAAGGCAAAGAGAACTGAAGGGTCAAACATTAAGGGTTTTATTTGACACGAATGTGACAAGAATGTAAAGTTCGTCCTGCAAAAGGTAAAACTAATCTTTTCATTCTAGTATACCAGTATTTCATCCGTTTTGGCGACATGTTCCACCATATCAGCGATTCACAAATTTTATTAAAATCAAACGATTAAGTGCTAATTAGTGGATACTATTTCATTATCTTACATTCTAATTGATCACCATTAAGGAATAACTCTAATAAGCAATAATCATTGCATTCAGAGTAACTCAAGCAATTGCTCAACTGTTAATGTCACGCAGCGCAGGATTGTACAAGGGGCAAAAGAAATGTCATTTTATATTGAATATTGCAGCCCCTTGAAATCGTTTCAACACTCTGTTTCTCTCTTTCTTTCCACAATAATCATTGGAGAAGGAAAAGTAGAAGAGGAAAAAAAAAGAAAGAAGGTTTAATTTTGCGAGAAAGAGATGAGTTGAAAGTGGGTGCATGTTCCCTTTGCCATGGCAAAATCGAAAACGGATTTTCGCATTTTCCTTCGATAGTAAGTTGTCAGCAGAAAATATTTTCATCTGGCTTTCATCAACCATTTATAAGAAACAAAATGGATGAACTCAAAAGGAGCTTTCATTACTTAGAAGACGACAATACTAGTTCAACATACTGCCATGTTAATCTTAAAACTGATGAGCAGAATGTGGCTATGACAAACAAATGGGTTACATAGCTTGCCACAGCCGAATATTTATCTTTAAAAAGCTTAAAAAATCTTCGAAGAATGCAGAAAATTGTACAGTGATGAATAAATGCAAAATTGCAATCTCTATCGAGTACATCTGGTCCTCGCTTGTTGATTATCAATCGTACAGTTCCTCCATTAGAAGAAAGGTTTGTGCTTTCTAGATGGAAATATTGATTTTGAACTGAAACGACTCATCAAAGCGAATAAGGATTAAAATTCCTCGGTCAAAATCTATTCTTAGAAAAGCAAGCCACTACCAAACAGAAACCTCACATTTCAACCTTGATCTTTATTAGCTTTATTCCATGTGTTTAGCACTATGATATCCCAACACCTGGTTTTCTCACAATCACTATAATCAAGATCCCTCGTTTTCTATTCGTCAATGATTAATACATCTGTCGATCGGCTATTTGCGTTTCTTCACGATCCTAAAATAAACAATAGCCACAGACAACTGATCAGCTAAATAACAAAAATCCAAATACATAGATATCAAAAATATTCCTCATGGTTGTGTTTCAGATTTTGGTGGAGCAAAAGTGGGTTTACCGGAAAACAACGAATTAGATATAGAGATTTCAGTTAATTCCTTTTAAGAACTCCTTTGTAGCTTTGGTAGATTAAATTGTTCTAAAAATTCAATAGAAATGCTGCAATTATCTCATATTAGATGTGATCGTGGCAACGTGATAACTTTTTAGTTCATTAGAGTTTTCTTAATGTGTAGTCTTCTCAGACCGAACTCGTGCAAAGCAACGTAGCTCAGGCTTTCTAGAATCTGCGCCGACCACCACCACTCACTGGTACTACCAATATAGGTGTACCTTTCATCGTTATCAAAATGGACTCTTCCGTCTTCAGGGTAATACGCATGCGCAACGGTTCCTCCCTCTCCGTCGAAATCGAAATTACAGTCTTGCTCATTAGTGACGCCAGCATGAGATTTGGATCCAAAGCTTTGAGGGAAAAACATTACTTCAGCGAGGAAAAAGGTTACTTCAGCTAAAATATGACGGTATCAGCCCTTAACTAGGTATTCGCAACGGCTCATTCATTCATCAATATCAATATGACTAATATCATCTTTAATATTATTATTACTATTAATATTATCGTTAGAACAAAAAGCAGTCCAACCTTATCCTTATATCGGCATTGTCGTAGTCATCTGTCCATGTAAACTGAAGACTTGAAGCAGCACCAACCCATTTGTCTAAGGCCTCCTCGATAATACGTAGCTGAATGGACTCAGGCATATCGTTACCGTACTCCATATAATATGTTAAACTTGTCTTAGACCATTTTCCTTGCGTGGTGAAACGCTTGACGCGTCCATCTTCGTCGACATCGGGTATTCCACACCGTGGTTTTCTCATCAGGTATAGAGTGTCTTCGTCCAGTTCTCGCGTTTGTGACAAATGGAAAAACTTCTAGAAGTTTTTTATTGCTTTGTTCAGATCCTGGTTCCCTGATCTAGCTGGTGATATGAAGTGATACTTCCTTAGGTAGCTCTATTGATGCGAAAAAATTGACTTGAGTTAAAGTCGCCTTGATGGTGTGTTCACCTGTTATTATACAAGTTTGCTTGAGCGCTATTTGTGAAAAGAAGCCTTGAAAGTAAGCGGGAAAGGAATGCTTGGTCTAGAGTTCAATTCAAGTGAAATCTGAAGCACTAGATAGAAACTACACATCGATATATTCAGTTGTTTGTGTTAACAAAAGATTGTGCCAGATCAGGAGGCTACTGACATAAACTCCTGCACCTTTGTTTCATATTGAATTTTACCGGTTTTCCTGACCTCCTGCCTAAACCAACTATTTTCCCATTCAAAGCGACAAAACACACAACAGTCAAAAAGCCTTTACACTTGCCTCGGCGAAAGATTCGTCCTCTTTAAGTTCGTGAAACTACTCATAGCAGACGATTTTTACAGCAAACAGTAGGGAAACTAGCAGAAATGAGACCAACATGGTTTACCTGTTTAGCTTCTTAGCATGAGAAAATGCACCTTTCCGCCAATGATAGGCTGCTTTAAATAAAAATTACAAGACAACAGATATATGATAACTGGGAAAACTGTTTGCACAGGTGTACAGCGAAGATATTCCGCTCATTTGTTTTTCAATCTCCGTTACACTGCAAGGTATCTGGTGACCCCCGCAGTTGCACTTGAAATGACTTTTGCTGGAATGTATCGTATTAAACAATAGAAATATTCTGAATCACATTGTACACAAGATCTCTACATCGTTAGTAAGGGCGTAAAACGCCAATATTTTTTTTCAAAAGTGAGAAAACCCGGCCTCAGTACTGTTACAGAAATTGCAACGCTGAGATGGTTTCAAAATATTGGCCGATTTAAACGAATCGAATTAAGTAGAATTTGATACAAAGGTCAATGTTTTCAAATTACAGCCATCAACTGTTTTTTTAATAGCCTACTACTCTACTTAGGATGACTATTCAACCAATAAGTTACTCGGATACTGAGAGTTTGAGCGACTTTGCCATACAAGTTTGTCAAAAGGCATATACAAGCGTAGTTAGTTGGAGATAGAAACCTCTTATCGTTGTTTCTAGAGTGTTAGGATTTGGTGAGGATTTTTTTAAAGCTTTTCGGTCATAAATAACTCTTTCGATCTGACCAAACTAGATGAACAGACAAATTGCTGTTGAAAACTTTCTGAGGCAATGAAGATGATAGAAAAGTTCAACTTGCCGCCTTTAGTTACAAGTAAGGTAAAACTTTTTCAAACACGATTCATGTTTGTCTCGTGTTTATTCCAATGAAAATCTCTTGTTCAGATGGTGTGGGAGTAGGAAGAACTTAACTGAGTTGTCATTACTTCCTCATTCGTAGGGTCATGTCGCAGGAATTCTTATAATAGAATGTATAGTGATTGTTTAGTTAAGAATGATGTTTTAAGCAGGTGGTTGACGGCCGTTGTATGATTGAAATATAAGAGGCAGGCTCTCGATTTCGGATTGCCGATGCAATTTCTGTTGTTGTATAACAATCAGGAAGTTTCCGTTCCTTTCGGGAACCGCGCCGTTGCTCCTAAACAAATTCCTCCCTTAGCCACACCCAAGCTAGCTTCTTGGCACTGCCTTTAGATCTTTAAGATCGCTTTCCTTAACTACAGCATAATTTAATTCTGAGATGTTGAAAGCTTTATGCATCTGGTGTAATGAGAGAGACTGATTGTGGAGCTCAAATTCGCTTCTTCTGTCATGTTAAAGCACCGAAATCTCAAGAAACCCCCATGAAACATTTGAAATATTTGAACAAATGTTTCCAACCGAGATTTAAGTTACCAAACAATATTAACATTGAGGTTCGTGGGGTCACGTTTCAGAAATTCTCACAGTGCCACTTCGAAAGATTGCTCTAACCACATTTGTTTAATCCAAAAATTTTGGCTATGGCCAAATAGCTGTGATAAAAGGGTTTGAAAAGGCTCTCGTAGAGATCCTCCAAAGCTTAGCTCAAGAACGATCCCATAAGATTATTGCTTGTATGAGAACGGTTTTGTAGACAGTTTTTTTGAGTGTCAATCAAACCACGGCATTCTGACGAAGCTTAGCTCTTTTTCCGAGTAGAGGAACAACCTGTGATATGATTTGATATATTGAACGAGGTTTTCAGGTACTTCTTTAGCACTCATTCGACTTCCAATAGTCACGAAAGTATTATTAATGTAATCGGGCAGTTGGATGTACTAGACTTAAAGCGAGAAGAATCCTATCAACGCACAAAAAACCATCGACATTACATCATTCCTTCGTTACTTTGGCTCACATCAGTAAAAGTGCACACAACAAAATTTAATTTAAAATACTGTATTAAACCCACGTTAGGAAACCACAATATTTGGACCATTTTAGTTATGTAGATAAACAAAATTAAACATGAAGCACCCCAGCTAAAGAAATTTCTTATTACCCACTTCCTAACCTTTTAGACATTTTCATTTGACCTAGAGGTACAGTAGCTGCCCTTTGAAAAGAGAGGAAAATGAATGTACAGATTTAGTCACGCTTTTGTCAAGATCTTTTCTGTACATTTCCAATTTGTGCAAGACCATACGATCACTAATCAATCATCGGTGATCGAAAGATCTCGTAGTCATGAAATTGAGATTTATTTTAAAGTTCAACTTTGGTTTATAGTTTATTGCAAACTCCTACCATACCAGTAAGGATACATCTTATAGAGAAATATAGTAACGTCTTTTAATATTTTCTTTGTATATTAGATCTTGGGACTCTGTTGCGGACATTTTAACAGTACATTATCTACGCAGGGGCTGTTTGGTAAAGAGCACGTCTTTAAACAGAAAGTGGTTTAACAATCGTTAATATACATCCAAACTAAAATTCTTCCCAAAGCGAGCTGTATTTCTCTTAATTTATCTTATTTTCAGTTGATATTTGAATATTTCTTGGTCGTTCATTTTGAAAAAGAAGACCATTTTGAAAGCCTGAGAGAGTAGGCAAGTACTAGACTTTGACAGGTTATCCAAAACAAATAGTGTACAGAATAATATTTTGAACCCGCTCATGCAAAATTACAGCTGGTTCATAAAGATTCCTTTTGATCACATTGAATACTTCTGTCTTGTGTTCGCTCAATAAATATTCAAATAGGACTTAAAACCCTTGCTTTTGAAAACAGAAATATATTGTATAGATCTGTATAAGATTGGGACTGTTTCAATAATAATGCCATCTTGATACCATGTTGAAAGGACATTTGGAATATTTTCTTGTTTTTCCTTTACTTCAAGTTTCTACTTCTTCCTTATCTGTCTGCGTTCTCTTGGGGTTTCCTGCAATCCGCATTAATTCTGTATTAGTAATATTAGTGGGAGTCTTACGGAGTTAAATATTACGAAATGATTCATTAAGTATCAGCAACAGAAACCTGAAAAACTGAATTTTACATAGGATGCGCAAGGAATCAGTGACTTTTATTGCTGGCAAGAGATTTCATAGATCAAGGGTTCCGTTGTGTGCACGGGAAGCATATATAAGAGTCTAATGGGGCTAACTACTAACTGTGAAACGGCAAAACATTTAAGCCTGTTGAGAGTAAACCTGTACAACTTTTAACTGGTAGTCGTAAAAAAGCTAACCGTAAAAATTTTACTCTTAACTTAAACGGAACTAAATTAACCGTCAGCTTTAACATGGCAAGGATTTTAACTGTTAGCCATAGGGGCCATGATCCAATTGAGACCCTCGTATATCCTTTAGCGAAAATTGCTGCACTCTTCCCACCATTTAAACTCTTTAAGCCCCGTCATGAATTTGCCCAACAACTGTAACCGCTGTAATAAGCTCCTATTTGGCTTCTAGACGCGGGGCTTATTAGAGAGAGAGAGATAGAAACTGGAGATCTAGAAGAAGCTTTTTTCTAACGTCCTATGAAACAAATTGCCATTAATCTTCTGAAATATCGCTTAGCTTTCATGAACACCACATGAAATAAGCATCCAATATAATGATTCACAACCAAAACTAATTCATTTTTATGACACGTATGGATATTTTCGTACCGAAACGCTACCTATTCTAATTGAATAACGTTCTTGAAAGGTTTTGTTCAAAGGGAGGGGTAAGTGAGGTAGGGGCTCTTCTAAAGCGCCTAGGCTAGGACACACAAGGAATTTCAATTTTGGGTATACCTACCATACAATGAATTGATCCCATCAATATCATCTTGGTGCAAAACAGGTCTCCCATTGCGTGCAAGCGGCCACATTACGGCACCTTGAACATTAGAGTGCGCCAGACCTAAAGCATGACCAATTTCATGAACGGCTGTGTAAAGCAGAGAGCGGGATTGCCTTGAATTCCACCACCAGCCTTGAACTCCACCAAGCTCGGTAAAATGTTCGTCATCGTCAAAATGGATAAATCCTCTAGATGGGTAATACGCATGCGCTATAATTCCTCCTGTTCCATCGAATGGATAAGCGCATGGCTTTTCACGCGGGACACCACCATGCAACCGTTTCCCAAAACTGAGGATGAAAATAATAATGATAAAATAATAATTACAGCAACGACAGTCACAATGAAAATGACGATGACGACAAAAGTAACTTCTTGTCATGAAATGGTAAAGTTGATTCAAGTGACTGGTTCGGAAAAACGAAATGCTTTCTTGGCTGTACGTTTTCTTAGCTAATGATAATTATAACAATACTTATAATACTAGTAACAATTGTGATAAAAATAATGATGATAACATTTGATAATATTGAGACGGGGTAACCACTTCATTTAGTGAATTGTTATCAAGGTGGGCTATGTTGAAACAGTAAATGAAATGATAAGGACAAATAAACAAAAACATATAATACCGGAAGTAAGAAAGCATTTAAAAAGATGATAAAATACTAAAGACGCCAAAAAAGATTCCTAGGTTTTTAAAATCCGACCGTGGACGGTGGGTCAAATTTCTTCCGCTTATATTGAGCTTACTGTTCCATCAAGATTTGCATCAATTCATTTTGTCAAAATGCTTGAGTACAGCGAGAAAAAACTTTCGCGGAGGTCTAAACAAAAGTCAGAGGCACAGTACCTCTGCCTAAATACTACATAATATCTATATTTCGTGGATGTGAATCGTCCATTACTGATCCAAATGTAGTGAAAAGAGAATCTATGATAATGTATGAGTTTCTCGGTTATTCAATATATAATATCAATAATTCCGTGTGTTTACACTCAATGGCTTGAATATTTATCAAGAGAGTAAATGCAAATTTTTTATTTTTTCGAAGCAAAATCAACAATCTAGAGTCTTAAATTTGGGATGAAATCACATTAGCGGCTGATTTTAAGAAACAAGAAAAGAATGCAGATTAAGGAGATAGCTGACCTGATTCTTAAGTCAGTGTTGTTGTAATCGTGAGTTCTGTTGAATGTAAGGTTTTGTGCAGCGTCGCTCCAATATTTGAAAGCTTCAGCGAAAATTCTTGACTGATCGGCCCGACTCATGTCATCTCCGAAAGATAAGTAATAAGTTAAGTTTCTTTTTCTCCATTTGCCCCTAGTTACGTAACGCTTTATACGAAAGCCCTGGATGTTAACATCCGGATCACCACAGCGCGGTTTCTTCATCATGTACAAAGTATCTTCGTCCAGATGACCGGTGACTTGAAGTCCGAAGAACTTCTGAAAGTTCTCGATTGCTTTTGTGGTGTTTTGATTGGCAAGGTCTTCGTCAGGTGAAAGGTAGTGGTAGTTTTGTAAATAGAGCTGCCAAAAGAGAAATAGGTAAAAATTTCAGTTTGGACTAAATCAGTTTTTACATTTTGATGGTCTCACTTTCTCATTGAAAAAACAAGGCTGTCCGCCGGTTAGATGTCACCTATTTTTAGTACATCGTGACCCCACAACCTTCATCTAAGTTCGTTGAAACAACCCGCTTCCCTCCCAATGTTGCTTTTTTCTTTGTTTTGGGTTTTTTTTTCAGGAGGTCGAATTATTCAGTTATTTGCATTAACAAGGGACAAGGGAGAAATGTTTCGACAATTTTGACGACGATTGCAGTTCATCTGGCAGTTTTATGATTTATGCAATTAGTTGGATTGATGTTTGTTATGCACAATAAATAAGTTGTTGCTTCCACACACGAAAAAAGTGTACTGAACGTTGATTAAAATTATTTGTTTGACTTGAAATGCTACATGCGCGAATTAAATGAGAGAACGCATTGAAAAATACGTGGAAGGGAAACTCACAGCACAAAATGAAAGGGGTAGAATCGCGATGTGTTCAGTAACTATTCATTAGTAAGCGATTATCCAGCTGACCCTTTTGTATCATTACTGCAGAGAAAGTATTAATATTACTATAAGAGACTAAGTTTGGCCAGCAATGTAACCTAAATCTTAAAGTCATATGAAAAATTTGCCTAACTGTTTCACACAAACCATAGCGAATCCTTCATCGTCCTCCTCGTCGTCCTCGTCGTCATCCTCATCGAATCCCAGTGCATAATGATCTATAAACAGCATCGAGAGAGCCACTAAGACCAGAAACGAAACCATGTTTCCCTTCATCATTAAAACGTTTTGCTATCAATTCACCACCGAATAAGACATGTTTACATGTGCACATCAAAACTAATAACATGGATATTGTTGGATTATCTCATTAAAGCAAGTATCCGTTACCAAATATGGATCTAAGAGGGACTTAAAATAGTTTTTGGTGATTTTGCTCATTTAAGTGTTTTTTTTTCTCTACAAGTCGAAATACTATTTTTAAGAAGATAAGGATATGCGATCTCGACCATAGAATTGTGCACTATGACTGGACATGACCTTTGTGTGAATAAGTTATCATTCTTATGATCAGCTGGCGTCAATTAAAAGTATTCGCCGCATTAGTTGCATGGATCATCAAAGCAACCGCTATAAAAGATATCCCATGGCGAAAATTGTATCATTTCAGTGTTTTTCCGTGTACTGCTACTAAAACAGACTATTTTCAGCTGTTTTGATTAAAAATTAAAAACCAAAACGTAGGCGGAAATCGACACTTATCGTGCTAAAAACAGAGCAATTACTTAAGGTTTAATTATGATTTGGACTATATATTGACGACATTACATGATATTGGATATTGGCCCTGCAATAAGGGAAGGAATTGTAATATTCTGAGTATGATACTATTGAACGGGAAACTGCATGTGAACCGCCCAAACCACAATTTTGGTTCAAAGCAGATATATCCTAGTAACAAGTGGCGACAGAAAAACAAGTTGGTGAGGTACTTGTTCTTATCCTCAAGGTCATCATGCGATCTTGTTTGGGAGACGTGGGAAATATTCTGGTGAATGATATTGTTAACTTATGCAATCATTACGGCCGTGTACGAATTTTAAGCAAGAAGTTTTAAACGTGAGCTGTTTAACCAATATTTTTTTGTCCCAAGTTTAATGCTAAACCATTCGTAGCTCTGCCCCAAAAAGAATGTCACTTTCGATTATGTTTCAGCATTTCAAAAAAAATGGAGGAACATTAAACCATTCATAACGATTCAACAGCAGTTGTGGGAACTGCGCGGGGAACGAAGTAGGTTTCTTTACTCAGATTAGGGATGATTTTGCTACACTTCAGTATACTTGAGTTAATATAGTGGATCGTCTCAAAGGAAATCTGCCCATTTAATATATTGGTAATTTTTTGACGAGTAGATTGATTCCTCTCTACGTTTACAATAATGTAGCGAAATGATTTGATATTTCCTATGAATATCATTTAATTATTCTTCGCTGCTTAGGTTTGACTTTTAGATCACTAATTAATCTATGTAGTATATACATTATACAAGGATGCTTTATATTTGCTTTACAACAGTATGTTTGTTTAAAAATGGGATTGATGGTGTATATAGTAAATATTTTTAGTTGTTTTCCCGGTTCAAAGGGTGTTCTAGTTTCTGTTTTCACCACAGTTCTTCTTAGGGTGTTTCTAGTCAGCTAGCACATGATTCATAAATCTCATAAACTCATCTCGTTGTCAATTTTGTCCCAAGTGTTTTGATTCCACATGTCTCGATATGTTTTACAATACGTATGACTTACGATTTTGGACCCATATCATTTTGTGTTTATTTTCTCGATTGTTACATAATATAGAGTGTTCTTAACTAGGAAAGACACTCTTAAAAGTAGGATTTGAACATTATGGAGGAGCAGCGCTCGGAGACAGTTTTAGTGACAACCCGGCATGACTTATGATTTTTGGACCCATATCATTTTATGCTTATTTTCTCGATTGTTACATAACATAGAATGCTCTTAACCAGGAAAGACACTCTTAAAAGTAGGATTTGAACATTATGGAGGAGCAGCGCTCGGAGACAGTTTTAGTGACAACCCGGCATGACTTATGATTTTCGGACCCATATCATTTTGTGCTTATTTTCTCGATTGTTACATAACATAGAGTGCTCTTAACCAGGAAAGACACTCTTAAAAGAAGGATTTGAACATTATGGAGGAGCAGCGCTCGGAGACAGTTTTAGAGAAAACCCTTGAAATAATTTAATAAAAATCCTGGAAAAATCACGGGCACTTTCAATGTTTCAGTCTTCTTATCTCTGGCAAAAAACACATCATGGATTAAACTTTTTTATGAGTGAATTCGACAAGGTAACTTACCTTCTCATGTCCTTCATTCACTTGAGATAAGAAAGAAAACTTAAAGTTCTCACTTGTAAACTTTTAACCTATGCCAATGGCGAGTAATCTCAATCTTCAATCACCTTCTATTACTGCCACGGTAACATGTAATTATCTCCTTTAATTTATTTTATTCAGTTATGTGTGCACAGCCTTCATGGAACTTAGGTGAACCTAAATGATGTTGTTTGCTTTCATAAAATAGCAAGACCATCTTTACAAGACGACTTCCTAAGTACCACCTGATATCAGCCGACAATGCTCAGGTGATATCAGACAGTGGATAGGGATGTTCCAGAAAGTTCGACCATTAAACGTGACCGGAAAAGATGAAAAACTTGTATCCTCGTCCATAACTTGCTACCCCCAGTCGAGCGTGAGGATGGGAAAACCCACTCAAGCAAATAAGTTCACACACACACAATCGTTGTTGTATCCTCTGCTTTTTGGATGTGATTCCTATCAAAAGGATACGATGTTTCATCCTATCTTGACAGAGTTTAGAAAGAAAATTCACTGAAGGTAAAGTGACTGTGTCATTTGGCACAGGAATGTCTTAACAGGGTTGTTATGGTAAAGAATCAAGGAAGTTTATTTTCCAGTGCTAATGCACGAGATTACATTGCATGAAATTACTAGTTTTTCTGTTAAGTGTATTGTGAAGTGATTACAAATATTCTAGTTTTGGTTTTGCCGGTCTTTGGTTCGCTCATCATTATAATTCACCTCATCGCTTTTGACATAAATAGACTGCCACGTGATATTCTAGAGGCAGAGTGCATGTGGCCACGTGTAGGGTGAACTGGCTTCCACTCAAATGCCGTTGTGAAATTGGATTAGAAGAAACCCGAAGAACGGAGGAAGTGGATCGAACGGTCCAAATGTCATCACATTGCCGCTGGCCTCGACAAAGAGGACGGCAAGAAACTGATAAATTACTAAGTTGGTCTACGCGTTGGTTGGAAATACGAATAAAATCACTCTTTGCAACACGCTTATTGGGCATGGAACTGTTATACTACAACAAAAGAACGGCTCCAGAGGAACTTGAGTCCGTAAGTTTTCCAAAACCCTTACGAACTTGGAGAGTTCTGTTAATGTGAATTTCTGTCAAAAATTTGGAAGACAAAAATTTGGGACTTCATGCAAGCTACATTTCCAAGTTAGTTGCAACAACAACAACAATTACAAGAAACGCGTTGTGAGTTCTCAGACAGCCGACTGTCATAGTAGATTAAAAGATTTTGAGAGCTACTGTAGATTATTTAAAAGAACGATGACCATCTGAGGGGTTATCCAAGTGATTTATTTTAAAAAAATTGGACGGACAGAGCGGACTTAGAAGCGATATTAAATAGAGGTAAGCGGGAGCTTATTTAACGTTTGCAGTCAGGTTGCAGATATGAACACAAATGCCACTAAAAATTCTCCGTTCCGCCATTTTTTGGGCTAGAACCTCGTTATGTTCATAGGTGATATTTTTCTTGGAAAATTTCCGTAGAACTCCATCCTATTCTCAAACAAAGCGGTAGTCGCAAAGGCAATCTAACGTTTTGGCTTTTGTTTTTTTTTTTCTTTTTTTTTTTTTTGATCCAAGAACTGTATATAAATGGAAAATATTGGGTTCTACAGAAATCTTGGCTGTTTCTATTCCACGGTAGGATTGTGGAGCTCAGCAACTTTTGTTAAAAGCTCGTTCTGAGCCGAGCTATAACCCATTTTGTTGTTGCAAAACCCGATACGAAGAGTTGCTTATGTGCCTCTGTTTCCATGGTGATTGTAATGCTGCACGTTTTTCAACATACCAGTTTATCTCGTTTAAAACAATGTTGAGTGAAGCCATACGATATCTTGGCGACTCTTTTTTCAACCTTCTCTTTAAAAAGAAAAATTTTGGTACAGGTAGTAGCTTTTGGGAGGTGAAACATTTTTTTCAAGGAAAAAACTAGTGCCCTATCAAATGAGATATTGCATTCTTTACTGAAGCTGGAGATGTTTTTTGAGACATATCAAAACAAGGATACTTTTTGTGTAAAATTTCAGTTTGCTTGATCCAAAAATATATCCGATTTTCATCCAAAAGGTGGTTAGTAATTTGTTTTATAAACCCCTCTAAACAGACATTTACATTTATATGAAAAAAGCCTTCATTGCCAATATATCATAAAACCAAAGAGTAACACCTAAAAACCAAGTTGGACATTACATGAATGGGCTCAGCTCCCAAAAACACACCAATTGTTTAACTCTTGATTGGACCCCCCCCCCCCCCCCGAGTAAGTAACATTTTATTTCTCCTTACATTATCACCCCCAAAACACAGTAAGTTCACAAGATTAAAAGAAATGATCACCAACTATTTAAGAAGCTCTTGATTGTTAAACAAATTCTCCTTGTCAGCACCTTGGGAAATGTATAGAGAACAGTATGGAGAATATGCACAATGAGTCTGATTTTGGGGTGTAAAGGGTTCATTATGGGTGCCCTGTGATTCAGTTACTATTTTCACCAGATTTCTCAAAGGCATATTAATATTCAATCTTATGATTCGTGAATCATAATAACTTGTTTAATTTTCACTTTTTTGCAAATATTTGATCACGTGTGTCAGTTAGGTTTCTAGACAACAAACAATGAACAATCTCACTTTAACAAAGGTTAAAATGAGATTGAAATTTTTGGAGGAATACAGTGCAGTCATCCTTTTCACTCTTCTTTTCTTATTTTCTGTTTTATTTTGCAACAAGGCAATATATCATCATTGACTTTAAATGATGCTGGGTGAACTGACATGTCATCTCATGACCAAAATCAATCTCAAACAAAAGGTAGATTCTTAACGAAACAATTATTTGAACATTTTCTGGCTCATTCACTCATAAAAAGCAGGATTCACTAAAATGACGTAAGCCTAAGGCTTGGCCTATTTCGCGTACGGCGACTTAAGCAGACTTTGCAATTTACTCCAGAAACTTCCTTCCTCGCTAAATTTTTTGTCATCATCAAATGAATGCGTCCATCCCGCAGTGGGAAGGCGTGGCCAAACATGACACCCCTCTCATCAAAAACAGAGTGGCTCGTAAGGAGTTCCAGAATGCCTCATTTGCCAAAACTAGGCAGAATCGAAGATAATTGGTGCATAAAAATGTACATAGAATCTTAATATACACTCCATAGCAATAACGGTCGAGAGAGACTTGTTAAACGAAAGTTTAATTTCGGAATTTTGGAATTTTGTCTATTAATTCATTTTTGAATGTGTTACAAAAGTACCGCAATGAAATTACATTTATGAACGCTGCGCTTTTCTACTGTTTTTAAAAACAAAGTTTCTCTTTCACAAAATAATGACTAGTTCGTACAAGGGTGCATAGTTTGCGGGGACCATGCAGTCCCGCTAGCTACTTTGAACGTGAGAAAGGATAACTTTACGGCATGAAAGTCAACGCATCTCACCATTGCGAAGTTAGCTTATTCAGCTCTCCAAACAAGACTCAAACTACTTTAAAAAAAACATCCTTGGCCAAGAACAGAGCTAAGATGTTAATTGACTTTTTCATTAAGGCAAGCTTCACAAGTGAACTGCACATCCTTTGTATCATTTGCCACTATCTGTCTGTTAGGTCAGTTGTCCAGTTGTAAGATTGGCTATTCAATCACGCAGTATTAAGGTTGCGTTATTACATGTTTGTCCTGTTACTTTTCTTTTATTGCTTCTTATAAATGTGTCTTTCTTTTGCGAAGGGCTTCTCTGAAGATTTCAGACTTACAGTCAACGAACTCCTTGACAATATTTCTCACATTCCTTATTAACTACAACTTTACTTGAGCAGATACATCAGCTCTTCTCAAAAAATGATGAACTCGTGAACTTAGTTAAGTTTGTTACATTTGTCCTTTAAACACGAGGTTTCAGTAGTTTAAGGAATAAGTAAAATCATTAAGCTTGCAAATAGAAACATTTATCAGATATCAATTTTTTTAGCTGAACTTAGATTTTCTCACTTTTGAATAAATACTTGCGAAAATACCATCCCCGTCACGAGGTTGGTTTCTCATTAACTCCTTGTGATATTTTATTGTTCTTCATCGACTTGTCTCCCTCCCCCCCCCTCCTCCCCCCCCCCTTCCTTCTAACGCTATTTAAGACGCGAAAATACCATCCCCGTCGCGAGGTTGGTTTCTCATTGGCTCTTGTTGATATTTTCTTGTTCTGCATTGGCTGTTGTGATTACTTTGGTTTTCGGTGTCACAATATTTAATTGTAAAGTGTCTGATGAACATGTATACTTCTGCAAGGGTAAACGGAAAATCGTAGCGGGGAGGGGTCAGAGCGGAGGGAGAGTTGACAGTTAAGGTGATAGCATTATTAATTTATTTCAGACAAAATTCAGATATCCATTTCGACTGCAAACATTTTTATTGTCACTTTGAATAACATTGGAAGATTCCCTTTAACCAATGTCTGCATCGCTGAGTTCAAACTAACGACCTGCAAAAAAATGTAGAAACAAAAATTGGCGAAGTACGATACGATTTTAAGGGTAAAGGAGAGTGCTTAAACTACTATTGAAAAATGACTGATAAATTGCAATCGTTTATCAAAGGAACGATTGCTTAAGATATGTTAGATACAGATATTCTAAACACATGAAAGTACTGTTACTATTTCAAGCTCTGAACTGTAATTCGCAGTATTTTTACCTAGTGAACGTATCGTACTTTTATTCCTAAATTCGTGCACACATTTAAAAAAGACGCAGTGCTTTATAACCAAAGAGACAAAGATTAAATGAATTTATGTAAATCATCGAAAAAAAGATTTACCGTAAAGGGACCTAACGCCATCAATGTCATCTTTATGCAGTTTAGGAGTTCCCCGGCTGGCAGTTGGCCACATCACTGCACCCTTAACATCGGAGTGGTACAGTCCCAGAGCATGGCCAATCTCGTGCACGGCAACGTGAATAAGACTGTTAGATCCTGTCCAAAATGATCCAGTCTCGCTAAACTTATCATCATCGTCGAAATGTATACGGCCATTTTGGGGATAGAAAGCGTGAGCGAGAACTTTTCCTTTGCCATCAAAGGGTGTATAGCACTTTCCTTCACCAGGGACGCCTTGATGACTTCTTTTTCCAAAACTGCAAAATAACAGATTAGATTTATGGTCATAAAGGGGAGGGAAGATTCCCCGCTCTGTCCCCCCTCCTCCCCTCAAGGATGATATTTAATTGACTGGTCTCTTAATTTATTGTTAAACTTTTTAAAGCTGAATTTCATATACGAAAGTTGCCCATCAGAAATTTGACTAAAAACATTCAAACGACAAATCTATTTATTGTTAAAAAACTCATGAGAGAATTATGCTGGAAATAAAAGATGCTCAGAACGCCTTGTGGTTTATGAATAGAAAATTCAACGGATCTGTGTCACTAAGTGAGTCCTGAACTACTTTCATTTAAAAAAGGAGACGAAACGTTAGTTTGTCAAGATGGAAAAACCGATGGTATTAGCTGACAAGAAACCCGGAGAGAATAAAGCTGCTGAAAGATGTGAAGATTTCATCGGATTGTAATTAACGAAAACGAAAATTAGCAAGAAGAAAAATAGGAACCTGAGTCTGAAGTCCGCTTCGCTAGTTCTAAATGTCCTGGTAAACCTCAGAGGAGTGACGTCACTCCACATTTTGAATGCCTTAGCTATAACTCGTGCTTGGTCAGAAGCTGACATGTCCTCTCCAGTCGACAGATAGTATTTGAGATTAGTTTTTCGCCATCTGTCCCATGAGGTAGAGTACCTTTTTTGTCGGTGAGGTTGGCCGTTTGCGTTCAAATCTGTGTTTCCACATCGCGGTTTCTTCATCTCGTACATGGTCTCCTCGTCTAACTTGCCAGTAACGGGTAAACCAAAAAATTTTTGGAAGTTTTTCACAGCAGTAGTTTGATCGTGGTTGCCTGATCTGGTTTTCGAGAGATAGTTGTAGCTTGAGAGATATTTCTAGGATAAGAAAATGCACAAACATGATTGTAATGATGGTGGTTCATGAGAAGGGGTCAAAAAACTGTCATGAAATCCTTACTATTCTGAACTTTGTTATTCATGAAGCATAAGATAATGGTAGAAAATTTCTCCCCAATCTGTGTCTTTAATTCAATCAATCGTACACAGCCTTTTCCATTACATAATTTGCTGGAAAATTTCAAATATTTGGTTAAAGAATTTTCGAAGAGAAAATTATGTCCGTTTAGGTGTAGGGAAGAGCTATTAGAGAAGGGTGCTTATTGGCTTTGTCCTTTTTGCTATTTGTAGATTTTTTTTCTTTTTTACTATCTGAAAAAAAAATTGTATCGAATCTTACCAAAGCAAATTCCTCATCGCTTTCCTCTTCTTCAAACGCGCAAAATGCGCTGTGAAGAAGTAACAAAGATACAAATAAAGCCGGAGAAAACATGTCTGTTGACGCCCTTACAGGTACCAAGGGGATCGATTCTAAGATCGTTAACGAAGGAAATCGTACAGTTCTTTTATTCTGTGAAAAAATTCTGCAGCTGAACATTGTAAATAAACCTGGTTAAACAAACAAAAATTAGTCTTTTGCTTAATCGAGCTAAGTGTTTTTTGATTGCTTTCAACACATTCGAAAGGATCAAGAGACTGGGAATGTCAATAGTCTCTCCTTGAAACTAAAATTCTCCGCTACGAAAATTAATTAAAAGTAAAAAAGAGAAATCAGTAATAACCTCACTAAACGATTACGAAATTTCGTCAAGCTTAAATAAGGCATCGATGACTTGTAATTTAAGGAAAACGTAAGGAACTACAAAAAACATAAGATTTGCGGAAACCATAACAACGAGGAATTTCTCTAGCGGGTGAAATTTGATTGAACCTTTTATACATGCAACTAAACTCAAAATGATATGTCAGATGGGAGTAAAGACGGTTGAATCTAAGTTAACCGAGATACGAAGGGTACTAAAAAAGTCACATACAGAAAGAGACCGTGTCACTTGTTGGCGCCGGTTAAAAAGCATATTCTTAAAACGTGGTTGAGAGAGTTTCGTTTCTTTTTTCTAAAACAAAGAAAACAAACAAGTTACAACGATAAATTTCCTTCCCTTTGAAAATGAAAAATATTTATATTTAATCACGTTTGGTTGTACAGTTGGAAAGGTGTTAATTGAAAGTCTAGAAAATTAAAAAGCAGGCATAATCACAAAGGATTGCCGGGATTGAATTAGCATTTTGGGATTTGTTGACTTTCGTTTAAATAGATATCAAAAGTGGGAAGGAAATGGTGAGATCATGAAAAGGCTAAGAAAGGTTCACGGGATGGAAGGTAAGAAAGGAGAATTTAAGGCTTGGCGCTGAGTTGTGTATCGTCAGTTTTCTTTTGCAACACGCTTCCCCGGCTCTCTGTTCCTCTTTGTTCCCGAGTCCTTTCCTTCTTCATGTCTGCTCGTTATTATGTTTCCCAGTGTCCCTGTCTCCCGCCTTCCGTCTTCAATCTCCTGCCAGTTTCCCGCTTCCCCGTTATCTCTTTTCTCTTTTTCCTGCGTTTCTCCGTTTCCACGAACACTTTTCCCAATTCAACCCTCATTCTCATTTTCCTGGAGCCCATTAGTTACCTTTTCCCGCTCCCCTGTTCTTGTAATTCCCTATTCAACCACAAAAAAGCGAGCGAAGCAATTGCTCCTTGTTCTTAAAATATGACTGTATTTATCCAATAGAATTTTCCTCGTTACGACAGCAAAAAGTAAATTCCACCTTTAGCGTCATGTCTATACTTACAGATCCAAATAATTAGTGGTTGCGCGAACCTAAGGACGGATCAGCCTTCGTGTACTTCCCACGGATCTTTGCGAGCATAGTTGGTTCTGCCATAGTGTTGCTTCTGCAAGGAATATGTTGTTGTACTTGGTGTTCATGCAGGTTGAATTCTCAGCAAATATCGACTGGCTTATTTAAGGTACTTCCACGTAGCCAGGAATGTATACATATCGCACGTAGATATAAAGGTAAATTGTTGTTCGCTTTAACTTCTTACACAAGAACACAACACTGAATGTTACCCACGTTTTCCTAACACTACTTGCTTCAGCTTTTCTCGAGCAGGTAAAACGCAATTTTTATTTGTACCCATGATATGGACATCAAACTGTGTGGAAAGATCTCCGTATAACCCCATACTATTCTAATACAAAGCATTCAGTTCCGAATGTAATCTATTGTTTTCGCCATTGTTGTCTTTTACCATGGTATGCAAAATGAAGTATGTTGTTATACGGAAATCTTGCCTCTTTATTGATCTGCTGGCATGGTTTTGTGCTTTAACCCAGTATAGTCGTAAAGTATTTTTCTGGTAATTAAAAATGTGATAGGAACATGCAGACAGAAGTTTTGCCACCTGTTTGACTACATGTACTTACTGTCTGAGTGGGTGGCCAGACTGGATAATGTTTGGCATGACAGTGACTTAACAATTTCCTTCTTTGGCCCAACCAAACTCAGTTATTAAGCATGTTACATGACATCACATGACCACCAATAAGTGTTGAATTCCAAATGTTTCTTTTGTTTTATTATTAAGTTGAAATACACAACTTCAATTTACATTCTCAGAAAATTAAAAAGAACCTTGTGGGTGCTGGGCTGGTGGCTTTTTGCAAACCGGCTCAGGTTGACCAATTAATAGCCCAACACACATCAGCTTCTACTATGCTTTCCTGTAGGGTTTAAGTGCACAGGGCAACATTATTTGATTATTTTATGTGTTGATCACAGGTCATACTCAATCTTGTCACAGGGTTTCAAAATCTCACCTTTTGACAAGAATTATTGTTATTAAACTTCAACCCACAGTCAAAAATGACATTTTTGAAGAGTTGGTCTGTTCAACTGTTACTGATAGATTCTATATGAATTATGTAAATCTATATGAATTTAGCATCAGAATTTTTCACAAAGATCTCTTGACTGCCAGTAAATTCATGTTAATTTAAATTCAGTTGAAGGCCCAACCATGTTTCATACTTATTAAGTTTAGGCCTGCTGAGAAGGACAACTTTGTTGTATCATTTTATTGGGGCAGAGAGAATTATCTTAAAAAAACTGATGTGAAGATGTTAGAAATAAATTTTTTCATAAATCAGTTGTGCATTCATCACCATAAGATAACATTTGGAAGTTAATGAAGGGCACTCAAGAATTAAGCTATATTTACTCTTGGCTACACCACAATAAACATACATGCTTACAATCTTTCATGCTCTCCAAATTTCCCCCGAGCTTGATATTACCTAATGAATGTATACCAATGGATGAACTTGTTGTGAACTGTTACAGGATATCAATGATATGATAATCAAAGATTTTTTTAATTCACCAGTAACATACTGATGAGGAGACTGAATAAAATTCTGATATGTATGACAATTGTTTGCAGTTTTTCAGATACACTTGAGAAGGTACATGGTCTAATAGGAAGAGGATTTCCAAGTGATTTTTGGCAGGAAATGGCAATTTTTCAGCCATTAAGATTTTTTCAGGTGAGGATTGACTGAATTTTTCCTGGCTCTAACCTAGAATTGGTCATAATTGGCAATAATTGACCAAAGGTCTTTTTTCTTACTCCCAGAACATTATGTCATAAATTAGAACTTCACCAGGATTGATATCTGAGCATGCATAAACTTTTGAATCTTCTGTTTTTTTTCCAAATCTTTTCCCCTGTCTCATTTTCTTTCCTTTCAAGATTCGAAAAGTGACGCAGCTATGATTGTTAAGTCATGTTAATTTTGTTTTAATGTAGTATCAGACATAGTTGACTTGAGGGTTTTTATTTTAAAGCAGTGGCTTTTCCTACTTTACTGTACCTTTTAAGAAATGACTCAACTTTAAACGTAGTCAGATAATACATGTAGGTAAATTTTATGACACTTTGTCTAATTTGTAGTATCATTGAGTATTGTAATTCATTGTACTGGACTCACCCTGCAAGCTTGTCAAATTAGGCTTAACTAATAACATGTACACATCAATAACCATCAAATAATCAATTCTACATTTATTTGAATTCAATTTCAAGGTCAACATAAACATTCCCAAGAGACTTTGTTCCTTACAATGGAGAACCTGCCAGCATTAACTTTCCAATTGGACTTGTTGAGTGTAGAATTGTCAGAAAAAACCATAACTGAAAATTTCCCTAGTCAAAACCAATGATGGTGAAATTTGAGTAAGTGGGCCTCTTGCATTGCAATGAAAGTCACCATCAGATTTGGGTCATTCTGCTGATAGCAAAGGTGTAATATAAATAAGATAAACTTGTATTAGTGGTCACCTACTGGAAATGGCAAGTTGACCTCCTTATACAGGTTGACCACTAAATACAGAAAGTGGGTCAATACAGTAAAAAATGTCCATTTAAACCAAAGTTGATCACTTAATATACATTTTTATTAAACAACCAATGAAACATCAACAAAATGGTAGACCTCTGGTTGGTTACAACCATCAAATGACTTGCATGATGTTTGTGCATAATATTTGTCCTACCAGCCATTAGAAAAAAGCTGATTTAAAATGAATTGTTGACATTTGCACTCGAAATACATGTACTAACACTGATTTCAGGATATAAACATGAAATTAATTTTACTTAAGAGACCTTATTTGTCAAGCTTGTCTATCAGTATAATATGTATAATGTAAACTTTGAAACACAATCAAAGCAGTCTAAATGTCTAGTAGGGCTATTCAAATGGAAGAATTTAATCTAACATTAATGAATAAATACACCTGATTTGATGGTTTAACATATAACACACACATATATTTTGGGATCATATCGTATATATCATACGAATTGTGTTTGCAAGTTGTGCATTTGCGAACATTCCGATAAGCACATGCCAGATCCCAATCGAAATTTAGAAAAGTCCAATCCAAGAAAATATATAGCTTCGAGTCTGACAGCCCTTAACACAAATTTTTGCAGTTCTAAAATTCATCAGAAGCCTTTGAGAGCAATTGCTGGAGGAAGTGTTTGTGGGTTAGGTGCACTCACAAGCCAGTTTTGTCAATGAACTCCAAGCTTCTGTTGTTTACATTTAAGCTATTGTTATTGTCTGTTGTGTTTCATTGTTGTAAACACAAACAAACTGCTCCAAACCCAAGGGCAGATGACAAAGTTCGATTCTCGCCATTCACTGTTCACATACATGAGGAGGTTTTATTATAGAGGTACAATGCCTTTGAAATTCAGTGTTCCTTGCTTTGTGGTTAAGAAATAAAAAGCAAAATTTTCGGAATTGAAGTTATTGCTTGTTTTTTTGGATGATAAACAAAAGAAAATTGTCATAAATGTCATCAATTTCACTTCCGAGTGAAATCCGACAAGAACCCAAACAATAGCATGAATATATGAATACTTAACAACCCACAAAACATGGGTACACACTTAAATCAACGTGAAGTTGTAATGTTTACATGTTATTTTTCAAAGCACAAAAGGGGCTGTGAGAAAAATACCAGCAATGAACAAAATGTCTGCTCATATTATTTATTAATCCATAACAATCAGGGATTATTTCATTTTTTAATGTTTGGGTATTAGTTTGCAAAATATATCCAACTGCCCTAATTGTATCAATTGCAAAGGGACTTGGTGAAAGATGAAAACACAATAAATGAAACTATTACGTGTTCTTAGTGACCAACAAAAAAAAAGTCCTTCTTAAAAGATTGTTTCTTTAAAAGTCCAGCCAAAAAAAATCAGTTTCAGTCGTTCAGTGTGGCCATGTCATTACTCCATATTTTTGCCCTGGTTTAAAGCCTAATACCATGGCATATTGTGCATGTTCTCATGGCCTTATTTGGTAAAATGACTCAGTAATAGAATAATTACAAAAGATAATATGTCTTGTTGTTTCATACTATTTTGTTAACACATTGTCTTTGATTTGTGTTTTACAGATCTTACATGAAAATGCTAATTACTGTTCCAAAAGGCTGGACATGTGTAAATGGGTAAGTTTGAAAGTTTGTAGTCCTCAATTCAATCCAATCCAAACTGTAATTTATTTATACTACATTTAGTAAACATGTATCAAATTTTGTGCTTCGTCAGAAACAAAAGTTCACATTTTTCAGGGCTGATCAAAAATTTCAAAGTTAATGGATGACAGTGGTAGTTTCAAATTTAAATACAAAGGGAGAATTTCATTCAAGAAATGCTCCTAATTCATGAACAAAAACCCAAACTTAACACGCAGTCAGACTCAATACTTGTAAAAGTATTTATTTAATCATATACAGCATGCAATGACACTTTGAACACCAAAGATCAAGAAATGTGTGGTATTCTAATGAACTCTGTCACTTTTCTTTTTTGTACTTTAATTTGCACCTACAGCTGTCATCCTTTTTCTTGATAATGGAGTCAAAATGACTTCAAAATTGTTAGTTTTAGACTGCTAATAATTATACATGCTTAAGTGTATTTCAGAAAGGTATATTAGACCTTTATGAAAGCCACTTAAAAATCTTTTTAACTCCTTCTGATATACTTATTAAGTATATTAACTTTTTCCTTTGTTTTCCTTGTCCAATGTAAACAAAATTAACACCATCTGGACCAACAGCTTTGTACAAGCTCCTTGAAGAGGTAAGATACTGCCTCACTTAATGTTGTTGGAACTCTCTCCTTTAAACAAACATTAACAGCCTCATATGCATATACAAAATTAAGCAGCAGTAGCTTCATGATGTTTTGTCTCTGTTACTTTTTATCAGTAATTTCTCTGTGAGAAAACAAAATCAAATATGACATCAAATGTTGCATTTCTTATTTCATCTCCATTTCCTGATTGCTGGACTGGCTTATATTTGACTGACTACTTGTTTGGTAGCCCAGTTGACTGGCAGAGTATCAGCCAGCTGGCTGGCTGCCTGATTGTCTGCCTGACTGACTGGGTAACTGGCACTCTGATTGGTAGTCTGGCTGACTGAGTGGCTGACTTACTGGCTGACTGGCTGACTGCATGACTGACTCACTCACTGAATGACCTAATAGCTAGCTAATTGATGAACTGGCCATCAGTCAGATTGATTAGCTTGCTTGCTGACTGACTGGCTGACTTACTGCCCGACTGAGTGGCTCACATACCCACTGAATGACTTATTAGCTCACTGATTGATGAACTGCCATCAGTCAGCCTGATTAGCTTGCTTGCTGACAAACTAGCTGACTTACTGCCTGACTTAGTGACTCACTAACTCACTGGATGGCTTGTTAGCTAAGTGATTGATTAACTGGCCATCAGTCAGCCTCATTAGCTTGCTTGCAGACAGACTAGCTGACTTACTGCCTGACTTAGAGACTCATTAACTCGCTGAATGACTTTTAAGCTAGTTGGTTGATTAACTGACCATCAGTCAGCCTGATTAGCTTGTTTGCAGACTGACTGACTGACTGACTGACTGACCTGCTGCCTCATAAGCTTGCTTGCTGACAGACTAGCTGACTTTCTCCCTGACTTAGTGACTCACTAACTCACTGAATGACTTATTAGCTAGCTGATTGATTAACTGGTCATCAGTCAGCCTGATTAGCTTGCTTGCAGACAGACTAGCTTACTTACTGCCTGACTTAGTGACTCACTCACTCACTGGATGGCTTATTAGCTAGCTGATTGATGAACTGGCCATCATTCAGTTTGATTAGCTTGCTTGCTGACTGACTGGCTGACTGGCTGACTTGCTTCCTTACTGGCTGACTCAGTGTCTGATTGACGCACTAATTCAGCATGTGGCTGAGTGGTTGCTTGACTGGATGACTGGCTGAGTGACTGGCTGGCTGCCTGAGTGATTGACTGGCTGGCTGCCCTACTGCATGACTAGCTGACCTGTTTGGCTGGATAGTTGACTGACAAGGTGCCTGATCGCTAGAGTGGCTTGCTGTGTGGCTAACAGACAGTCTGACTGGCTGGCTAGCTGCCTAAGTGACTGAGTTACCAGCTACTTTACTTACTGACTGACTGACTGAATAGCTGACTGGTAATCAGTTGACTGGCTGGCTGCCTCACTGACTGAGTCACCAGCTAGCAGACTGACTGGCCGGCTGACTAATTAACTTTCTAACTGTGTCTGCATGACTTGGTTACTGACTGATTGAGCAACCGATCAAAACGCTGCTCAACTGACTTGCCGATTGACTAGTAGACTGAGTGGCTTATCAGCTGGCTGATGGCCTGACTGACTGGCTGATTGTTTTCTCTGAGCTGCATGTAGTTTGCCAACTGACTGGCTGACTGCCTCAATGGCTTGCTGTGTGGCATCTGAAAGACGGACTGCTTGACTGGCTAATGCCTTGCTGGTTGCATGACTGGTTGACAGACGACCTAATTGGCAACCAGGCAGCCTCATCGGCTGACTGATGGATAAACTGAGTGCCTTACTGACTGACTGAACTGATTGACTGATTGAGTGCCTGCCTGATTAGCATCTTATCTAGATGCCTGGCTGACTGTTTGTCTGCTTGTCTGACTGTTAGATTGACTGCCTTGCTGACTGACCTCCCGATTGAGCCTCTGCTTGACTGAATGCTATGCTTGCTGACTAATTGCATACTGACTGGCTGCCTGATTGGCTGACTGACTGACTGACTGACTGACTTCCTGACTGACTGACTGACTGAATGAAAGTATGACTGACAAATGCTCGCCCGATTGAGATACTGAAGCCAGACTGGTTTCCTGACTGGCTGGTGTGCTGTTTGACAGGTTAACTGACCTGCTGACTAACTTCTCAACAATCTTTGGCTCAGTGATTGTTTTATTCTTCGATTTATTCCAGATTCAGAGAGAGAAAACGGAACGGATTCGAAAGGCAGAAGAAAATTTCCACTTTGGAAGCGAGATAAACGTACAGTGAAACTTGATTTATTGTAATTTGTGCTGTGAAAAAAATTTCATCTGCAGATATAATCATCCTTACCATCAGTATATTTTCAGCTAGAATCAGAGCATCAATTTCTTTTTCGTGCTTGTCCTCTTTCGTTTCAGATGTTCAAAACATCATCAGCGAAGTGAAATCACCAAAATTTGCGTGGTCTGAGAACGTAAACCTTGACGAAAAATTGCGGAACTCAACGCACCTCCCATACGTTGCGCTGAAGTTGAGGTGTGGCGCCGCAAGAGGTGATGAACACATTCAGCCATTAGCGAAATTCTAACTAAAAATATAAATACATTTTTAATCGACGTCGCCCTCAGCGCTGCCGTCCTGATTACTTAGTCCCTATGAGGGACCTTAAGCATTTCTTAACTTTGAGTTCCAAATGGAAATTAAAAATAATTTGTCTTCGTGGTTTCCGTTCGCAAACGACGCAAACTGTGGTGATTTCACGCTGTTGTTTTGCAGAGGACGGCTGAGAATTGTACAAAGCTATAAAAGACACGTGCTGGCTTTTGTTCTGCTCATTGGGTCTTATTTTTTTTCCTTTTTTGCTTCGTCCTCGTTACCGTGGTTTGCTTAAGGACGCTACTGTTGAACCGCCCGAGCTGTAACATGACAAATTCTGTTCAGGTTTCCATTTGAATGCAGTAAATGAATTTAGAAATTTTTTATCCTTTCTCTCTCTTGCTTACTTTTTTTCTTCCAGGTAACGTCAAGATTTCCTCGTAAGGTTACAAGTGAAAAACGCAAGGTCAAGAGTGAAATGAGAATATTTTGGCAAGTGTAACTGATGTGTTATTGTCAAACCTCATGAACCTGTGTAATTCTGTAGAAGTTTACCCGTTGGATATTTGAATCTTCAGATATTTTCAGTGTCGATTAGCGCTGATGCATCGGGTAACTCGTGTTTCACGGGTGATTAATTATATTTCCCATTTTTAGTTCACTTCAGAATGCTAGAGATAGTAACAAAGAGACAAAAAGGCTTGAGAAGTTATCAGCGTGGAAAAGGATAAATTTGAAGAATATTTTATTTCTTCACTCTCGTGTAAGACTTGACGTCTTATTTAATATACCTTATGATACTGTCACCAAGCCTCTGAAACTTGCACTGACTTTGATACTTTATTTATTTAGTAGTATCTTAATATTTGAAAATAAAGGGAAATATTAAAGCTGTTTGCTTCATGTTTTCAAGTTCAAAACCAGGGGAGAGACGAAAGAGCAATTTCAACCCCCAAAAAAGTGGTCAGAAAATCGGGGGTCGATCCGCCACCGTCCCCCACCACACCCACCTCTTATAGACAGTTTTTAAATCTGTATAAACGTTGTCTACTTTGTGGTAGTAACATTAATTTTCAACGTCTGTCTTAAAACACATGCGTATTACAGGATGATGTTGATACCACAAGGTAGATAAATTTTAAACAAACTTAAAAAACTGTCTATGAGAGGCGGGCGTGGTGGGGGACGGTGGCGGATCGACCCCGACTTTTTGACCACTTTTTTGAGGGTTGAAATTGTTCTCTCGTCTCTTGCTTGCTTCAGCCTTCTTTCCGCGGTTGATTATTTGTCCATGGTCTCTTGTTTGAGGTCATCACACAAAATGAAATAAATGCGCAGGCGTCTTAAACTGTGCACCACAACTGCAGAGTGACTGTCACAAAACACATCCCTGCAAAAAACCACAACTCTTTGAATTGGACATTACCAATACATCTGAATGAAAGAAAATAACAGAGCTTTAACTGGGGCGAATAAATGTTTCGAGCCAGAATACTTACAAAAAACCTTAGTTCAGGAAAAAGAAAAAAAGCTTTAATCCTTTAACTCCCAAGATCTGATTGATAATAAATTCTCCCCTCTAAATGACACACATTTCCTTGTATATTAGTTACGAGAATTTGCTACTAGATCAAGATAACTTCTGATAATTTTGAGTATTCTCGTCACCTGTTGGCTTCATAATGTATGGAAACCATAAGGGAGAAGGTAATCACTTTAGGGAGTTAAAGGATTACGTACCGTGTAAGATGGAGAAGAATACTAGAATTAAGAGCAAAGTCTTACCTTTCCCCAAGCTGTCCGCCCACTTGAGAGCACGGCGAACTCTTTGGTCCAACTAAGAGTTCCTACAATCCTACAGAGACAAGATAGGCTATGTTTTTAAATACCAAGAGGTCTCGCATTGAATTGGGTGTGTCAGAGTAGATATGCAAACTCAAACGCCAAAAATCAAACGCAGCTTTAGGCTGACATTGTTGATTGGTAAATAGGCGCATAGTTCACTTATGACATGGGAAATGATCTCTGGCTACTTTCTGAGTTCATGAAATGATATTGAGATATCATTGCACTTATTTTCCGATGCGACAAGGAACGCGAAGCGCTTAGCCACTATAACAACCTTTTGAATAGGCGAAATGTGACTCTAGCCTTCTGGTATATGTGGGTTTTGTGTGCCAACAATTTTTTCTCGGCCGCACCACCCTATGAGTGTGCTGCCGACAAGCTAATAAAAAATTGGCTGAGAAATCAATGACAGTTACAAAATAATGCACAGAATAATAAAAGTTCTGGTTTCTATTCATTACAGCGAATCCGTTTCTCTTTGTTCCTTCCTTCATGAAATAAAATTGTTTTAACACAACGCCTCCACATCCTGCGTGGCGAGAGTCACGTTTCGCTTATTCGTAAGGTTGTTATGTAATTGTGTACTTTCCATATCACGCATCGGTTTTGCTTTGCATGGTGCCTTTTGCCTACGAAAAATGAATAATCCGTCCGTTTTCAGTGAGCCATGGTCGCGAGGAGATTGATAATTTTCGAAATAGGAATTTACATAAAGAAACCATCCTGCCGACGTCCAGGGAAACAGACTTCACTTTCTGCCCAAAGCTAAAAATAACCCATTTAAAACCGATATATCCCGACCAACACCTTGTTTTTCCCTCTCTCTCTTTCCTTATTCTCTCTTGACCTTACACAGTTACACCCATCAGTTTTCCAAATGCGAAGTTGTTCTCCCGATCTGACTTCAATTTCGTAACATTAAATTGAATTATTTTCCCCCCAAATAAAAAAATTTATGTCACCTACCTTTCGTTTATTGTTAATTTTTTAAGATAGTAAGTCAATGAGGAAAGGCAGGGAGTACTAGAGGGTCAAACTATAGGGGGATTGGGTTATAGCATCTGAATTCGATTGAGCAATAAACACAAGACTATCTGGTGACTTTCGCAACAATAGACGTCACCATAAATATCACCATAGGAATAATTTAACACTTCTATACATTTTTAGCAAGGGAAGGAGCCCTAAAGGCAGTTTGAACGAAATGTGGAAATATGTGATACGAGAAAAGCATTGCTGTTCAAGAAACAAATGTTTTAGATCACAAAGCTTGGATTTGAATTTATGCTTTGTCTATTGGTTTGCACAATGAATACTAGTGTTAAAATTGCTCCCTATACCAAGTGCCTTTTGGACGAAAATGCAACGGACAATATCAACGAAATACAAAATGCCTACATTGGTTTAATTAGCTTGACTTCTTAAATAACGTTGGTAAAAATCAAAAGGGTTTTTTGGACGGTATAGAATGTTCTGGTCGAAGGATCTAAGTGCGAAGAATTACAACCAAGTCGCCCACGGACCATACACGCTTAAAATTACTTTTCTGTTGCCTTTAATGTTTCTTTTTCAACTCTCCAAGTATTGTTAGAAACTTACTAATTTTTTTTTACAGTTGCCACTGAAGTATCAATAAAGTGATCTGCATAACACTTGAACGAGTTGGCATGGGTGAGTAGGCATGGGCGAGTTGGCATAGGGGAGTTGGCATGGGCGATTTGATCCGTGGGCGACTTGACTATATACCGATGCGAAGGGTAGCCTCGGAAGAACATGATTTATATCCAAATTCGATTTTGCAACTTAGCTATTCTTTCTACCAAAATAAAGAAAAGACAGAAAAGATCTGTCATCCTACTAAAACATACAGAGAGCTTAGAAGTATTTCTTAAGATCACAATGTTATAGAGGGCTTTAGTAGACCAGTCAAATCTGTATTAAGCAGTCACCCTTTGGAAATGACCGCTTAATACAGGTTTTGCAGAATAGGGGTGTTACCAAAAACACAATTTTATTGCATAATTGACCACTTGATGCAGAAAAGCTGGCTCAAAAATACTACTAACATTGATTTCTAGAGATAAATATGGATTTAATTTTACTTGAAAGATTATTCTTAGTTTTATTTGAGTGGTTCTGCTTTTAAGTGACTGTTCAACATGTGGAAGACATACAAAGGGGCTGTTGGTACTTAGTAAAGGTGACCACGACTGCTTGAAATAGAGGGGAAATTTACAGTAACTAAGGAAAAAATTTGTGATTTTCACAACCAACTACTTAATACAAGGTGAACACTTAATACAGTGCCACTAATACAGGTGCGACTGTAGTGGCAGCGGTAAACCAAAAGTGGGTTTATCATTCCCTAGAGCTATGGAAATAACCTTTAAGAATTGTGGTGGCAGGAATGTAGCTAAAAAAAATGGAACAGCTTGACAGGAACAACAAACTCACCATTGAAACATAGCCACCAATCCAATGAAAACCCAGACAAAATCTGAACAATAATACATTCTTCAGCTGTGGCACTAGTGGTTTTCATTCTGTGTGGCAACCCAGAACAAATTGTCAAGCCCTGAGGTGTACTTTCTAAAATGCTATACTTCTAGAAAAGTATATCACACCTACTGGATAGTAATAAATTTATTATGAAAGCCCCATATAGTTTAATTGTAGTTGAATTTGTTATCCTGAATAATTATGACTATGACATTACTTACTTTCAGTCACCCATCTCTTGTGCAAAGTCCATGATCAGTTCAGGAGGTCATGGCACCACAGATCAAGACCAAGGAAGAGATATGTTGTGTGGGAGCGATGCCATTGAGGGTCAGCTTTTAGCCACCCATCTCTTGCACAAAGTCCACTCTCTGTTCTGAGCGTGTAAAGACAGTCCATTGGCCAAAACAATCAACACACTCACTGCTTATCTTTTTCCTTTTTTGTGGGACCAAGTCTTTGCATCACAGATTAAGACTAAGGAAGAAATTGGCTGGGTGAAACTGACTTCTTTTTAGGGGTTCAGCTCTTAGACACCCATCTCTTGTACAAAGTCAACTCTCTCATCAATGCATAAAGACAGTCCTGTAACTAAGTATTAACACATTCCCTGCATATCCTTTTCCTTTTTTTTGTAGGACCAAGTCTTTGCATCACAGATAAAGACTAAGGAAGAGATTTGTTGGGTAAAACTGACTCATGTGTGAGTCAGCTCTTAGGTGCCCATCTCTTGTACAAAGTCCACTCTCTGTTCAGCACTCTAAGACAGTCCCTAGGCCAAAACAATCAACACACTCCCTGCATATCCTTTTCCTTTTTTTTTTTTTGTGGGACCTAGTCTTTGTAGCACAGAGTAAGACTAAAGAAAAGATTTGTTGGGTTGAACTGACTCATGTGTGAGTCAGCTCTTAGGTGCCCATCTCTTGTACAAAGTCCACTCTCTGTTCAGCACTCTAAGACAGTCCCTTGGCCAAAACAATCAACACACTCCCTGCATATCCTTTTCCTTTTTTTTGTGGGACCTAGTCTTTGTAGCACAGAGTAAGACTAAGGAAGAGATTTGTTGGGTTGAACTGACACCTTTGTGGGTGATCAGCTCTTTGTCATCCATCTCTTGTACAAAGTCCACTTTCTGTTCAGCACATAAAGACAGTCCAGTGGCCAAAACAATCACACACTCCCTGCATATCCTTTTCCTTTTTTTTTGTGGGACCTAGTCTTTGCAGCACAGATTAAGACTAAGGAAGAGATTAGTTGGGTGAAACTGACTCCTTTGTTGGTGATCAGCTCTTAGGCACCCATCTCTTGTACAAAGTCCACTTTCTGTTCTGAGCACATAGAGACAGTCCAATGGCCAAAACAATCAACACACTCACTGCTTTCCCTATTCCTTTTTTTTGAGGGACCAAGTCTTTGCATGACAGATTAAGACTAAGGAAGAGATATTTTGGGTGAAATTGGGTCAGCTCTTAGATGCCCATCTTCTGTACAATTTAGTCCACTCTCTGTTCAGCACATAAAGACAGTCCAATGATTGAAACAATCAACACACTCACTACATATCCTTTTCCTTCTTTTTCAGTGGGACCAAGTCTTTGCATCACAGATTAAGACTAAGGAAGAGATTTGTTGGGTGGAACTGACACCTTTGTGGGTGATCAGCTCTTTGTCACCCATCTCTTGTGCAAAGTCCACTCTCTGTTCAGCACATAAAGACAGCCCAGTGGCCAAAACAATCAACACACTCACTGCATATCCTTTTCATTCTTTTTTTGTGGGACCAAGTCTTTGCATCACAGATTAAGACCTCATAGTGATTTGTTGGGTGAAACTGACTTCTTTGTTTGGAGCACCTCTGTGATCAAGGAAGGAATCGATAAGAAATGGTAAGAAACAATTAAAATAATATAAAGGAACATCGTTCAAGACATAGGTTTGAAGATGCCAAAGATCTGAAGAGATGGCTTGGAAATGATAATTTTCTAAATCCATAACACGTCCACGATTTGTGATGTACTTTAGTTGGAAATTTAAAAGAGAATAAATGCCCAAAAGCAAATTTCGGAATATCTCTCCCTTCTGGACTGTGCCTAGCCTCCCAGCAGGCTCTCTTTATCATCGTTCAGCCTGAGTTATTGTTTCATTGCCAGGCAACAAAGGAAAACTTTACATCCACATTGTGATAAATTAGCGTCTACATAGCAAAATCTCCAAACAACAAACATCACGAGTCATTTTGAAATATTGTTAAGTTATTTCTAAGGATTAACATTCTCCAAATTTAAGTGCCTCTCAATGACTGATGAAGGAGTATATTCTGAGTAATATTTTGCGAGGGTGTCGGCCATTTCTAACAAATTTCACCCCAAGTGTACCCTCTACTTCTATCAGCATCTAGACAATTAAACAGAGTCTACATGTAAGTCCCCTGTGAGTTCCCCTAAGTTACACATTAAAAGTTTCTAATAAAATTCCTTCAAAAAATACGGGAATAATCCAGCAGAGATCAAAAGGGAGAAAGCAAGTTTTGAAATATTTTCTTACGTACCTTTTGGTGACACGAGGTCATGATTTCTTCCTTTTCCGACCACTCTTTCCGTCTATCTTTGGTCTATTTACCACCAAATGACGACGATAATATTTTAAAAGTAAGAGATGCCAAGGTGCTCTCTCTTTCCGGTCTTGTATCGAAGCAAGCTGGTTTTTTTTTCCAAAAGATTTCAAATCCTCCGCCACCATGTTGGATTTACCAATCTGTTGCCCAGTTCTCCTCACCTTACGAAAGAACGCGCGCGTTTCGTGTTGACTTTTCCGTAAGCGTGGAAATCGCGGGAGGGCTCGAGGGATTACGGTACCTGTTCACGAAGATGAATGAAATTTTCGCCATCATTTTTGTCATATGACAGAGCTCATTAATTATGACTAAGGCTATGTTAAAAAAAAAACAAACAAAACAAGAAGAACAGGTAACAAGTACGGTTCTAACTTGATAACCACTAAAAAGATTGTGAACTGAATCTTAAGTCTTCCTGAATTCCTACTGTGAATTATCGATGTTTCGACCAATTTGACGAAAATGTGTGGGAAAGAAACTCAATAAGGGGGGGGGGGGTATGCCTTGTACGTGGGATACATACTTAAGCAAAAATGGAAATCAGACAACTTCTGACTCACTCAACAAAGTTTAAAACCGCGTGAGATGAACACTTAGGGGAACATAATGTATTTGGTAATGCTGGTCTCCGCCGTCCCAGCAACCATGTAAAAAAGCTTAAAGAAGACTGGGGCGGAGGTTGAGACCCAACATAAAGGTAAAGGCTGATCATTTCACGTTGACCGACGTAGAAAACCTAACGTGACCGTGGCACGATAGAGTTAGATCCGCGTGTTGGAATGAAACTGAGGACAACTATTTTGGTCTTGTCGGCAGTGTTAACTCAGCGAAAAGTGACGACCTCAGATGAAACTCAAGTCCAAATGTTCCCCAGTTGGCCAAAGCCATATATAAAAAGCGTGGCCATGAAAAATCAGAAAAATCTCTCTTATCATACTGATGTCTGGATTAGAAGGTTCTGGAAAGATAAATTTAGTCCTACAGATCTTTAAATAACAATCATATCAGACCAGAAAGATTTTACAGAACGAAGGTATGTTCCAAGCTGTCTCGTTGGTCTCTTTCCCGATCGTAATCACATGACATGACTCGAATTCCCAGCCCTCTTTGCTCATTAATTCCCTGAGGCGATTAACATGGAATTTCTCCCCATAATATCCATACATAATCCAGCAAACAGGTAATGAGAATATTCAAAATTATCAAGAAGTTAATATCTTGATCTTACACCAAATTCCCGAAACCAGCTAGAGAGGAGAATGAAAAATCGGATCTTAAGAGATAAAGGGTACACATTTCGCCCACTTCAACCTGGACATTTCGTTCCTCCCTACATGACCTACAGTAAAAACAACGCCATTACATGTGTGTTTTTTATTCATCACATTTCACGTATTGGAACCTTTCACAGCTCCATTTTTCACAGCCTTCAAGCGGTTAATAAAAAATTAATCAATGTATACACCTTGTAAAGTTTTAAAAAGCAAACAAGAAAGCGATGAAACATTAGATTTAGAATTAAAAGCGAATTAAGTAGCATTAATTATTTATCTTAGTTGCGTTATATTTATTTTACGCGCGTCTGAAGTTAGTTCAATTATATTTTCTTGTCACTTTTCATGGCAAAAATAAGTACCTGGATGACGATAATGGGTAATTTGATTTTTCCACGAAGAATTTGACGCAAAAGCAAATTCTTCAAAGGAAAGTGAAATTATGCAATACGTATGGATGGAGTGTAAAGTGGAGTTCGAATAACCACGGAAAATGATTATCGATTTCCACGCAAATCATAACGAATCGAAAGTTATCACCTAACAATGTACCTCATTTCATTCACTTGGCTAAAGAACAATTGTAAAATCTCATCAAATTAAATTACATTACACGTAAAATCAAACTAAAGTTGACACTCGTACGAAGAAATGGGCGAGACAAGCAAAAAAATAAAAAGTTAAAAACCAAGACTTTTAACTAAAATGAAATATTAGTAAATAATCTGTAAAAAGTATTAAATAAAAAGACTTAAATTTGCTTGACCAAACCCCTATTTTCTTCGTCAGTGAGCAAATTCAAGCGCAAAAGTATCCTAGTCACCAAGCGTTCCCGCTTGCTTAGTTGTCTGCTCGAAACCGAGGAAGAGCTTCTCAGCAAAGTTACAGATGCATGTTTTGACCGAGCGGAGAACGTCCTGGAAACCAGGTTGCGCTTGAGGTAGCATTCATTGCTATTTCGGCAGGCCAGCCTTGCCCACGCAGTTAAGATAGGTAGCACACCCTTGAAACAACTTGAAAATATAAAATATGTAAAAAAAAAAAGACTTTTTCACTTTTGATGAGGGTCTTCAGAGTTAAAAGTGCACGTAAGTCTAGCCAAGACTCCGTTTAAGTTTGGTAACAAGGAGACAAACCCAAGTAAAAATTTCACATTTCACAATTATTATCAGTACAAGAGACATTGTACGGTCGAGTAAAGATATAAAAATAAAGATCACTATTATCTTAGATATACAACAATCTATCGATTCTTGGCAATCATCTATCGATTGACCCATCGCTTGATTGATTCCTGCCACTCCATATCTTCGTCATCTGTTCGTTGGGTACCTTCGTCGTCGTCGGTTTGAATGTAACTCTCGTCATCCGTCATTTGAGATCGGGACGAGGTCTTGTAATCTCCTTTGCGTGCGTTGAGGTCATCATCGTCTGTATCCGTATCGCCTTCGGAGCCTGCTCGTCGACCCTTCGGAGTTTTTCCGCTCCTGCTCGGACCGTGAAGGATAACTTTCTCCGATGGCTCTGTCATGACAATGTCTCCATTGGTCAGGTTTGAATTTTCCCTGGCTTCCTGTGATTCCAGTGATTCCCTAATCTGATTGACTTGCTGTTCAAGGGCCTCCAGATCAGTGTCATCTGTGTTTCCGTTGGGAAAATTCACCGCTTCGTCTTCATCCTCTGTATAAAGAAAGAAGAGAACAAAATCAAGTTGAAGGTTTGTCGAGTGTTACATACTTTTGACGAATAAACACCCCAAAAAGCTTAGACAAAATACGTTTTCTAACTATTCACGACTGAGCGGATTTCAACAGCTTAGTTGAATTAAAACTATTTTTAAGATAATACTCGATACCATAGAGAACATATCTATCTTCTTCAATCAACTTGTGGTGAGGGTGATTTCTATTTCTACCACTTGCTTTGACTTGTTATTTACAATCTCCTTCCTTA